ATCAGGAAAAATAGTATTTTATGTTAAGTTTACCTGCTTTCAATTTATACTCATCGAAATTAGCAGCTCAAAATTAAAAATTCCAATTACTGTAATATTATCGATACGACATCCAAACTAAAATCAAAAGTTGCGTCTTAACTTCAAATAACAGCCAAATAGCTTTTTTTCAACATGACTTTTTAATCCCACTCTACCCTAATTATTGTAAAAATTTTTATTTTACATATAATTTTATTATAATTAAAACGATTTTTCATGCGATCTTTTTAGACAAAAAACTAACCAAAAACTTTTATTCTTGCACATGCGCCATTAACCCTTTAAAGCCCGAATTATTTCCACCGATTCGATTTCAACCACATTTGGTATATAAGGGTTTTTGGGGTCGCTGATTACAAATCTGAAGTCAAAATTCAAAATGGCGGATCCAATATAATATCCAATAGAATATGAAGTCAAAATTGCAAAATTAAAAATGGTGGATCCAATATGGCGGACGATAAAATCAAAAATTAATAAGATTTATATGAAATTTGTCACTCGGAGGTTTTTGGGGTGGCTGATTGCGAATATGAAGTTAAAATTGAAAAATTTAAAATGGCGGACAAAAAAAATAAAAAATAATAGAATTGACTTGAAACTTATCACTTGGGGGTTTTTTGGGGTCGCTGATTACGAATATGAAGTGAAAATTGCAAAATTTCATTCTCTACAATCCATCCAGGAAACCGCTGAGGATGCTGGCTCACCAACTCACGGCGTTTGAGGTACCATTGGTCCTCAATGGCTTCAAACGCGGCTACTGACTCTTCTTCGCCTTCTTGAAGCCTGGACTATGCATCAGGGACATGATGTTGTGCACCTCGTCTGTGAACTATGTCGAAGTCCCATTGCTGCATTTCCAAGGCCCACCTGGCTAACTGGCCTGTAGGATCTTTTAAGTTCCTGAGCCATATTAGGGCACTGTGATCCGTGATCACATGGAATTTGTCCCCTTCGATGTACGTCCCGAACTTTTTGATCGACCACAGTAATGACAGACACTCCTTTTCCGTCACACTGTAGTTTTTCTCTGGCTCCGTCAAAACTCGACTGATGTAGACTATCGGATGCTCTCCGTCTTCAAACTCTTGCGTTAATACGGCTCCGATCGCATAGTTGCTGGCGTCACACTGGTTGCCTTTGTGTAGCAACTTCAGCAATGGTATTTTGATTTCGCTGTCGTTTGGAATAAAACGGGAATACCATCCGACCATGCCTAAGAAGCGTCTGAGTTGTCTCACGTTTTTCAGCTCTGGGTAATTTCTTACCGGCTCTGTTTTACTCGGATCTGGCCTCAGACCCTCTCTGTCCAATAAATAACCCAGATAAGTTACTTCGGAGCACCCGAACTCACACTTATCTGGATTCACTATCAACTTCGCCTTGTTCAATTCCTTGAGGATGAACTCTAACCACTTAGCATGTTCTTCAAAAGTGTCTGTGACTACTATGATGTCGTCCAGATACCCGAAGACATGCGGCTCTACCTTCGGTCCCAGCAATGCGTCGATTAGGCGTTGGAACGTCATTGGCGCGTTTATGAGTCCAAATGGCATCCGGCTAAACTGCCACAGTCCTGATCCAGGTATGGCAAAAGCGGTATATTTCTTACTCTCTTCGGCAGATGGCTCGATGATCCCTAGTTTGTACAGTTTGGCAGCATTACCTTGGGTCCAAGTTAACATGGCTGGCGACATCCGTCTGATGACATGTTGTACTGGCGTTTCGTCCGTAACACGTATATGATGTTCCGTCAAGTCTGTCATTCCGTGTTCTTCTGACTCTGGCAATACCCATTTGTCTACTATGGCTTGGATAATACTCTTTTGCTCTTCATCAAGCGCAGAAATACCGGCATATTCGGCGAATATTAGTTGTTTGTTCTCTTCTCTCTCTTTTGACCCAAACTTATGCCATTCTCCTTGAAAAACTCTCCATAGTTCTTCTTCCAGCTTCACGTCCATGTTCCAGGCCTTGCAGAAATCAATTCCCAAGATAATGTCTTGTGTCAAAGTATTCATAACTTTGACTGCTAATTTTTGATCAAATCCGTCGACTACAATGTTTAGGTCCAGAAGTCCGGCTGTTTCGGTGATACCTCCTGTTGCACTTCTCACAACTGTACCACACGGCTGAATTCGGCTTTTGAAAGGCTCTGCGACTCTGGTGGTAATTACTAAAATCATAGCACCAGGATCGAAAAGTGCCTCGTAATGATGGTCGCCGATAGACATGCAATAGTACACAATCGAGTAATTTGACACTTTCTCCAGCCATCAGTGAAGCAATTCAGGTTGCAGTGGAAAAGGGGCAAAAGAATATATTACTGAGATTTTAAGAGCAATTTACTAATATGCTGCAAAAATTTGAGGATAAGCAAAATGCTTTTAGTGTTAAATTAGATAATATTGTGCAGAGCATGAAAGCGGATATTTTAGATAATTCTAATAAAATCAAATATCTGGAAATAGACTCATCAGAACAAAAGAGAGAAATACTTGCGGAGAAAAAAAAGACGGAAGAATTGGAGGCAAAAGTTATGTTGCTTGAACAGGACATAAATGTGCAGGAGCAAATGTCTCTACAGACATCTCTAGAAATACATGGGTTGCCTTACAAGGTCAATGAAAATTTAACATCTTTGTTTTGTGAAATTGCGAAAGCTCTAAAAGTGCCGGTAAGCGAACAAGACATTTCAAACATTTATCGTGTGCATCGAGATACTAAACAAACGGATCAACAACATACACCGATAATTAGAGTTAAAATGTTTAGACAAAATATAAGAGACAAAATTATTGAGCAACGAAAAAGTGTGTCCAATTTTTCTACAACAAACATTGGCTGGCTACCAAAGGATAAAGTTCCCTTATATATCCGGGAAACACTATCTGCAACGAATCGAAAAATTTATTCTATTGCTTTAAATTTACGAAGGAACAACAGAATTAAATATCTATGGGTCGCAGGAGGGAAAATCTACTGTCGTCGAGAAGATGGGGCCTCCAGAATACAGTTAACTAGCCTTCACGATGTAAACAAACTCCAATAGCAACTAAAGTCGGTACTTCGATTGGTTGCATTATTATGCTTTACCTTTCAAACGGTTTGTTATTTACTCTTAAAACTAACCCACAGTATTATAATTAAATTTTTGTGCCATTCTTTCTATTCATTACAAAAATCACAACATTTTATAATTATGTACGAAACCATGATTTGCATACTTTAGTTGTTGAACTATTATTTTTCAATATCAAAAAATGTCATTTCATTCAATGTAATCTCGAAGCCAAGATGTGTCGTTTTTTTAAAAAATTTTTTACAATTCAAATCACTCTTCTATAGTTTTATTTTTAACAGTTACTTTTTAATGCTCATTTTTTATAAATCGAAATGGACTCATTGAATTTCTGTCACGTAAATGCTCAATCTCTGCGTGCCCACTTTCTCGAATTTAGAGATTTTTTTGAAAGGGAATTATATCACATTATTGCAGTTTCTAAAACTTGGTTAACCCCAAATGATAATTATAATTTTATAAACCTTAATAACTACATTTTATTTCGTAACGACAGAACAACGCGGAGTATAAAGATTAAAGGTAAAAATGACAATGTGTTAGTAGGAGTCGTATACAAGCCTCCAAATGCTACTTTTGGTAATGATTTGGAACTTCAAATTTCTTCGTTAATACCGCTATTCCATAGCACTATAATAATGGGCGATTTTAATTTTAATTTTAATACAACTTCTCCAATGACTAACTACTTGAATTCAATGCTTTACTCACTGGGTTTGTCGATGGTCCCTCATAGCTCTACACACCATTTGAACAATTCGAGCACTAAAATTGATGCTATATTTGTGAGTGATATGAACAGAGTTGTCTCATATGGACAACATCCAGTTTCTTTTTTATCAAATCACGATCTTATTAATATTAAATTTGAATTAGAGGAATTTCGGTCTCAGTTTACAAGACAACCTACTTTTGTTAGAAATATACACAAAATCAATGAGACTGAATTTCTTGCACATTTATCAGGTTACGATTGGGCGAGATTATTTTCGGAGACTAATATTAATATTAAGGTATATTTGCTTACTTCATACTTGACTTCGGCATTTGATACTTTTGCTCCTCTTTACTTATCAAAATCTAGGAAGCGATTTTCGCCTTGGATGACAGATGAGTTAAGAGGACTAATTAAGGATCGAAATAGGCTTAGAAGAATTGTTAAAAGAAATAAAAACCCAGATAACATAGTCAAGTTTAAAAAATTCGTAACTTAGTTTAAACAAGCATTCGGGACTCTTATAATAAATATAATTTTAATACAATAAAAAATAAGGGATTAGGCTATCACTTCCAATTATATTTCCAATCCTCTTACATATTTATAATTATTCCTTGCAAACAAGGACCTTTCCAGAAATATGGAAAATGAGCACAGTTCGTCCAATTCCAAAGATAGCGAATCCTAAGAACTTGACCGATCACAGACCAATTTCAATTGAATGTGCCTTATGTAAACCATTGGAACAAATAGCATGTAACCAACTCACATCATATTTAAATTGCAATGATTTATTAGAATCTTTACAGTCTGGTTTTCGCGCTAAGCATAGTACTTGCACAGCTTCTCTAAAATTCACAACAGACATTAAATTAGCTATGGATAAAAAATACATAACAATTGTAATTTTCTTTGATTTTTCAAAGGCCTTTCCCTCTGTACATCACAAATTGTTACTTCGCAAACTTCGAGCTTTTAAATTATCTGAAACGGTTTGTGATTGGTTTGAGTCTTATCTTGGTTCAAGATTTCAAAGAGTAGTTGATGAGAGTGGTAACATTTCGGATTAGGATCGAGTAAAGTGTGGAGTTCCTCAAGGCTCTTCACTTTCCTCGTTACTGTTTAATATTTTTATTTCAGACCTCGGTGAAAATCTTAAATATTGTAAATATCATAAATATGCGGATGATTTAAAGCTTTATTTATCTGGACCACTGTCATCACTTCTCCAACTTCTTGAAATGTTACAGGAAGATATAAACTGTGTTGTAGATTGGGCAAGTGATAACGGATTATCCTTGAACCCTGATAAGACGCAGGCAATTGTTATCTCAAAATTGAACTGTCTCTCTAACGAATATTTAGCAAATTTAACTCCTCTTAATGTAGGTGGCAGACCAATAAAGTTTAGCGAGAAAGTGAGAGACCTTGGTCTAACCGTAGATCGTTCCTTGTCTTGGAAAGACCATATATATGGAATTTCACGTAAAACTTTCATGGCACTTCAACAATTGAATAGAAATAAGGATTTACTTCCGACTGCTACAAGAGCTTTGTTGGTAAAAACCCTCATATTGCCTTTTTATGATTATTGTTGTATAGTTTATGATGATGTAACGGACGAACTGAATTTAAAATTGGAAAGATCCTTAAACGCATGTATAAGATTTATTTACAATCTACCTAAAATGGAACATATAACTCAATATAGATTAAAGGCGGAAATGTTAAATGTGGCAGCGAGAAGACAGTATTTTATGGGCAATTTACTATACTCACTTTTTAAGAACTATACGCCATCATATTTATTAGACTTTTTTGAATTTAAAGAACACAGCGAGACAATATACAATAGGCTTCGAGAAAGGAAACATGTGTTACAAATTCCTCAACATCGAACTTGTAAAATGCAAAAATCATTTATTGTAAGAGGAGCGAGATTGTGGAATAAGTTACCAATTTCGATTAGAGAAGCTTTAAATCAGTTTCAATTTAAGAAACTTTTTTTTTATTTTATTTTTAAATGTGAGAATCAATTTCTCGACATCACATACTGGTAAAATAACATATTTTTTTCTTCCTTTTCTGATACTCTGGGCTTTTCTCTTTTTAGTAAGCTTTGATAAATTTTTCGTACACACTTGACTTTTTGAAGTTAATTTAAAATAATAAAGAAAATTCTAATTAAAAATACTTAATTATTGTTATAATGTTGTATGAAATTATGTTTGTTAAATTTCTCATTTTATATGTATTATATGATAGAAGGATATATATGTATATATGCAAATTTGAGTGCAGCACTATTGTTAAAATAATAAAAAAAATGAAATATATGTAATTGTTCCTTGAAGGGCTATGTAGTCCTAGGAACTTGTATTAAATAAATAAATAAATAAACATGACGAAGAAGTATCTGTTCTCCGTCCTAGATCCGTCGATGTCCTCCTCATGACTTAGGTTCGGGTCAGCTGTGACTCTCACAGCCTCTCCCCTCCCCTGGAGTATAGGTACCGGGATCACATCTATACCTTTTGTCCCACACTCTTTGGCCATTTTTTCTACTTCATTTCATTAGAGTGAGCTCTGCACCCCTCAACAGTATTATTTACTGTCCTGTTGAGTTTGAGGGGGGTACAGGGCTGCTCTGTGCCCCCCACACACCGTTTCCTAAAGCGGATCTGACGGACACACAATTTGGACAATTTAGAAAATTGCATCCTGGCCTCTTACATACCAAACACGCTTCTGTTTGGGCTGGCTTCAGAGGGCATTGATTTGAATAATGCCCTTGGTGCTGGCAAGAAAAACAGATTCTCTGAGGGCAATCTCTGGCTCGATGCTCTGTAGTCTGACAATGAAAACATGCCCCAACGAATTCTTTAGGGGTACTTTGGGCTTGTGTACCATTTTGCCCCGACTTGGGTCCTTTAGGACCATTTGGCCTGGGGTAATTTGGTTTTATTCCAGTTGGAAACATCCCTGGATAAGCCATTGGGTAGGCAAAATGCATTGGCATTTGTACGGTTTGGGCTGGCGCAGCACTGGCAACTTGGCTCTGGATTACTGTTGGCTTCTGACTTGATGTCGCTGGGCTGATGGCCTCGACATTCTTTTCTTCTGGCTTATTCGTTTCTTTCTTAATCTTCTTGCTCTTCTTCTTCTTTTTCTTTGGCTTCTCTGTCTTTGTAGAGTGATCGCTCTCACTCGACTCTGACTCCTTCTCTAGTGCTGCCACTTTGTCGCTTTTGGCGTGTTTGTGACCACTCTTCTTCTCTTTCATAGCTGCTGCTGGGAAACGCATCTTCTCTTTTGGCAGGGTTGGGGCGTATCTCTCATCCAGGTCCTTCGTTTTCTCGTAGTTTCGAAGGTTCTTCATCTGGCCTAACGACTCATAGTGAATTCTTTCTAATTGCCGTCGGTAACCTGGCGATAGACCTTTGTAGGCAATCTTGACTTGTTGTTTTTGGCTAATTGGTCTCTTCATGTGGCCCAAAATTAGTCTAAAACTGGTCAGATACGCGGAGATTTTCTCCTCCTTTCCCTGCGTCCTGGCTCTTAACTCGTCTATCACATCATCGTCGTCGACCGAGACTAAATATTCGTTTTTGAACGCCCTCTGGAACGATCTCCACGAAATTATTTTACGGCGTAGTGACCTGAACCAGCTACTGGCAGTTTTCTAGAGGATGATTGGCAGTGTCTGTAAAATTTCTCGGTCCGAAAATTCTGAGCTGGCCTTACAGTCCTCCAATCGCTCAAGAAATACCTCGGTATTATCGTCGTCTCCAAAGAATTTTAAGTCCCAGTCCTTTAGTGTTTTTATCACCTTGGACCTTCGGCCGGACTTAATTTTCCTGTTTTTACCCCCACTACTCTGGCATTGACTCAGATCGCTCTCGGATTCAGACTCGCTAGTAGAGTCATCCAAGATTGATCTTCGGCTCTCCTTTACGGCTTTCTGTGATCTACGCGCTTTAGTGCTCCTTCATCGGCTTTTTTCACCTGTTCGGTCTTTACTTTTACCCCCACAACTGCATCTACTACTAATTTGGCTCTCCTCGCTATCGTCATATTCAATTCTCCTCTCGACCTTCTCTCTTCTACCCTCGTTTACCCGACTCTCTCTTGTCTTTCTCTCTAAATGACTGGTATTATTCTGTTCTCTTCCCCCTCTACTGTTCGTACTTCCTACCCTCTCATTCTTTTCAAATTCAGATATCGGCTCTCCATTTCTCGGCACTCTACGATGTTTGACACTAGCGTCACTCATACTACTTCGGCTTGAATGCTTTCTAGGGGCGGGCGTGGGCCTCACTCTATCATTTGTTTGATGTTGTTGTGAGGTCTCGGCTACAGGAGTTTTTGTATGTGGGGACAAGATACGCGATTGTTGGTGGTGGGTCAATTTGTACCCTTCTCCAATCTCGGCCCTACATTGACTTTGTTGTAACTCTCACCCCCCTCCTGAATATTGTCGGTCAATTTTCTCGTCATAGGCGATTAGTCTTTCAATTTCGAGAGATAGACCTAACCTCGCTATTGAATCTCGCATGTTTTGCACGTTTGGTGCCATTGTTGCCGACTGAATTGTGTGGGGTGCTGTCATGACCGTACTGGTTGTCATAATCAACTGAGCACTCGTTGTAGTGGGGGAAACTGTCGTCATGCTGGCTGTTGTCATGACTGGTGGTGGGGGTGTAAAATTTGGTGTCGAAACAACGCTGGTCGGACTATGTCTACTGTACAGTGTTCCAATTTTGGTTTTATTTCTCTCACTCCCTTGAGTTTTCCTGGCACTAATACGCTCGATAACCTGACTCGCCCCACTGTCTGATTCTCCGTCATCTGCCGATGACATCTAGCCACCCCTGCGATAATTTACGAATGGAAATTTTTCCATCTCTGGCTCTGGGAAAGCTTCCACCAAAAAGATTTTGCCGGAATTTCCCAAGTCATATCGATCGCTAAATGACACGTCACTACCATCATTTAGGGCTAATCTCATTTCGGCTCGCAATAGTCTCACCTTCAAAACTTGTGGCGAACAACTGATACACAATTGGTGTCTCAATAAATTCGTCACTACTTGGACAACTTGCATGATTTTAATTTTTTCCTATGCTCGGCTTACGCATGGTACTTCAATTAATTCGCTCATGCGTCTCTTGTTGTCCTGCATATCGCTAATTGCCTTTGCCATTTTAAAGAATCAAAAATATTTCTAAGTTCGAATAATATTAAATTTTCAGGGGGGTGCACATTTAGTATACACGGCCCTGTGCTGTCTTGAAAGCTAGAACGTACCTATTCAAGGAGGGCCCCCTTTTAAAAATTTTATTTTTCTGGCGGACTGGTGACTCGACTCTCCCTCTCTCTCTTCTTCTCGTACTCTCTCTGTATGTAGCCGCTATTACTACTACTACTGAGCCACTTTTCCTGGCGCGCGCAAACTTTCTCTCGGCTGTTAAAATTTCAAATATCCCAGCGCGTCGTTTCTCTCGACCGTCCGGCGCACTATTTGCAGTCACGTGACTAATTCAAATTTTATTTCCGGTCTAACATGTGCTCGGCATAAAATTTTCAGAAAATTTTTGATTTTGCACAAATTTGTTGGGAGTTTTGCTCGGAATTTTCTCATAAATCTGGCTTCCGACAAAAAAAATTTAATTGTTGATTTCAATTTTTATCACGGCAGGAATTTTTACAGTCTCAAAAGAAAAAGAAATTTTCAAATTTAATGGCAAAGACACTCCAAAAATTTATTTTACACAAGTGTTGGCAGTAATTTACTCATAACTTTATGAATAAATAAATTCTGGCATTGGCAAAATAAATTTTAACACTCTGGCATCTGGCAAATTAAATTTTTGAATTTTCTGGCAAAAAAAATGTCTAACTCTGGCAAATTGAAAATTCAAAAATTTCGGCTTTTGGCTATTGAATTCTGAACTCTCGGCTATTGACAAGAAGCTTGTCGGCTTTGGCAAATTGAAGTTCAGAATTCTGGCAAATTTTTACAACACAGTGGCAAATAAATAATTTATAGTCGTGTCTCGGTTCGAGCCTGGCCCCACGTTGGGCGCCAAATTTTGTGACGTATGATTTGAAACTAATTTAATTTTAGTCCAAATTTCTGCTTTACGTCAGGCAAAATCCGACGCTTTCAACAATAACACTGGGTTACAAAAAAATGGTCATATCGTGTTTATTTAAAGTTTCCTGTGATTATTGAAAGTTTAGGTGTCACTGAATAAGAATATACCAGTAAAACATTTTTTCATTCGGTCATTCCCTTAAAAAAACGAGTTTAAAGTGTCAAAAACCGTATTTTTAGCACTTTTTGAGGCAGCGTAACAAGAAAACGCAACATGATAAAAATCTCTACAAGAGCTTAAATAAAAGCTTAAACCTTCAACTTTGAGGCTCAGAACTGAAAAGTACTTAAATAATCAATAAAAACCTCCTTAATCAAGCAGTCGCTACCTGAAATTGTCAAAAAAGCTAGAACAGGAAGCAATTGGTAAAAATCGATTTCCTTAAGCGGATTCGGTTGCAACTTGTTACTTGAAGTTTTTTGAGGTTTCTAATGACGAATTGGAACTTAGATTTAAAAAATTTCAAAATGGCGGACTGAAAATAATGAATTCACTCAATTTTTCAAAATTTGCGTTGATAATTTTAAAAAATTGAGTCCGCCACTTTGAAATTTTTTAAATCTAAGTTCCAATTCGTCATTAGAAACCTCAAAAAACCTAAAATAACAATTTGCAACCGAATCCGGTTAGGGAAATCGATTTTTACCAAGTGCTACCTAACCCAGCTTTTTTGATAATTTCAGATAGTGACTGCAGGTTTTCAGTGCTTCTTTAAGTACTTTTCAGTTCTGAGCCTTAAAGTTGAAGGTTTAAGCTTTTATTTAAGCTTTTGTAGAGATTTTTATCATGTTGCATTTTCTTGTTACGCTGCCTCAAAAAGTGCTAAAAATACGGTTTTTTGAGACTTTAAACTCGTTTTTTAAGGGAATGACCGAATGAAAAAAAGTTTTTCTGGTATATTCTTATTCTGTGACACCTAAACTTTCAATAAACACAGTAAATTTTAAATAAACACGACATGACCATTTTTTTGTAACCCAGTGTAATAATATGAAATTTAAATAAATAAATTTCGCCGCCAGGCGCCAATTAATTTTTGAAGCTAAATTAATAAACTTTTACTCAGCTCGACTAACAACAAAATCAACTCCTCTGAATTTACTCTCTTACTCAGAGAAAATTCCTCTCGAACGATTGGCAAGCAGAGAATGCCAACGGCGAGACACGACTGGCACAATATCAGCAAATCGACTTACCGACGACGATCACTTCTCTGGCTTCCTCGTTTTTCTTGTGTTTCGGCTATTCGGCGGCTATCTCCTCAGAGAATGTCGGCTTAATCCAAAGTTTTAAAGGAAAGGTAAAACTAGAACTTTACATACAATTCTTGTAACTCACAATTTATTATTGTTAACAATTCTTGAGCTTCACGCTCTACCTCGTAACACTCTAAACTCTTCGGCAACTCGGAAAAACTAAAAAAAACAAACTCAAACCAACAAAACGGAAAATTATTTGTAACGACGGACTACTGTACCGGCGCGATAAGTAACAATTTTCGTAATGATGGCGAAAGTACAGGACACCTGTCGCGTCTCGGCTTTCTCCACGCGTGGCTCGTCTTCTTCTTCTACTTTGATTATGACGCCCCTGAGATACAGCCACCATGTTTTAAGACAACCTAAACTCAGACTAAACAGGCATTCATAAATTGGTAAAACCTTGTGCGGCATAAACCGGCCTTTCTACATGTCAAACATTTATCAAACATTTTATCTTTTTTTCAATTAATATAAAGATGTAACTTTAAAAGCTCTATATTTTATTCTCAAATTCTTTTTTCAATTAATATAAATATATAACCTCAAAAGCTTTCTATTTTTTCTCAAATTCTTTTTTCTCAAATTACAAATACCAGATTTATTTGTAGCAAGGCCAAACTTAGGGATTATGAAGTCGATTTCGATTATCGACTGAAATTGATTATCAGCTTTGATTAGACAATAACTATGTAGGTAGTCGAATACGGAATTTCGATTGTTTAGAAAAATCGAATATTCCTGTCGATTAGTCGAAATTCTCTGTCACTTTCACTCTAATTGAATTTCTCTGTTAATCTTATTGCTGCTTGCGCAGGCATACGCTCCGGTTGGTTTTTCTTTTGAAATTTAATATAAATGTTTTTTACAAAAACAAGGGAAAATGGCTCCTAGTGCGGCATGGGAGCATTTTTCTAAAGTAGAAAATGGCTCAAAAGTAAAATGCAAGTCGTGCAATATTGTACTAAACTACAATAATAGCCCAACCAATATAATAAACCATGTCGCGGAAATTCATAAACTTTGATTACCACACTGAGAAACCTTTGGGACTGTAGCGAAACAACGTATGTGACAGCAGCTCCACTATGGTTTCGGTGCGCTGCGGTACAATTTTGGGTGCGTGACAGTGCAAAATTTCGGTGAGCAGCTCACCGAAGTAGTGGGGATGCCGCCTTTGGTTTACAGCTGAACAACTTTTGGACTGTCACGCGCCCAAAATTGTACCGCAGCAACCTATCGAAAGTCTGCTGCTGACCCAAAGGTCTCTCAGTGCAAAGTTACCGGTAAAACAAGTAATTAAAGGATGAAAAAAAGAACATTTGTAGATAGCCCACCGGTATGTCGTTTAAATAGCCCGAATCCTCTAGAAACCTGGGAGGCAATAAAAAGCGAATATTCTTTCATTTATCCAATTGCTAAAAAAGATTTATGCCCTTGCAACCTCAGTACAGTCAAAAAGAAGTCCGGAGAAGTTTTGGTTTGAAAAATAGAGTTCTAATAGTTGGTCCAGCTTAAAGACATATAAGATGAATAAGAAAAATAAATACTAGAATATACTTTTGTTATGTATATTATATTTTTTAGAAGATGTTAATGTTTAAATAAACTAATTTTTTCTATATTTAAACATATTAATGACTAATATAACTCGAAAAGTCAATAATCGAATATTTTTGTCTGTTAGAGATACCTAGGCCAAACTGTTGGGACATTTCACCTGCCTACGTAGATCAGAGAAATGATCATTAAGTATTACCTATACTTCCAGATGATTTCGTTAATGAAGTCTTGGAAATGGATGATAATCATCTAAAAGTATTATTGAATGGAGCTGAGGCAATGTTATTGTTAGC